TGCAGAGGAAACTTGCAGGATAGGAGTCACTGTTACTATTTAGATGCAGTGGCATTTAAAATAATGTATTGTGATAATACAGATTTTTTTCTGAAGTGTTGTGAGCATTCTGGAGTGGAAAAGTATTTTTTTATAGAAGAGAAAAATGAGTTTAAAATACTGAATTACTCTTGAGCATGAACAGACTTCAGGAATGTCTAGGTTAATATTTTTTGTTGGTGATATTAATAGGAAATTTTCAACTTGCACCATCTGCCCAGGTGGCTAGTTTGGTTCACTCACTTGCTTTAGGGACATACAAATGGAAGACAGATCTCACAGTAGATGAAATATGGACAAGACTAATGAAATTATCTTAATCTCAATCTAGGCTACCTCTGCCAGAAAGGAACAGAGACAATTCATGGTTCGGCATGGGAGTTATGTCTGCTGAACGCATAGCCTTGTGTCCCAGAAGGAAGCTATGTATGACTGAGTAATGCATCCTTTATTTGTTAAAATTGCAAACCTTGTTTCTCCTTAAAGGGCATGTTCAGTTTTGTATGACTGTTCAGGTACAGTTCAGCTTTATTTTTCAGTTGTGTTAAAAGAATATGTTGAATATAGTGTAGTCGTTTCAGTGCCTGTTTACATTTGATCACTTGTCTCAGTTTCCTGACTCAGAAAGCATTTATCCACACACTGAATTTTTCTGGTGTATATTATAGGTGCAACGAACAAAACAGGGCCCAACACTACTGATCTTCTGCCGATAACTTTCTTCTTACCTGTGTTTGAGTGCATTTTGCATTGTTTTTGATTCAGTTCTAAAATTAGATGAGCACAGTGACTTTTGCATTAATAATCTGCTTTAGTCTTGTTTCATTTGATGTTGTAGCAAGATCCTACTCAAGCCAAAGGAAACTGTTTGTTTTGTTAGCTGTATTTTAAGATGGTGAACTGTCAGTGTGATCTCCTCTTCCAAATCTGTCCTGTTTCTGGTCAGGCTGTGTATTTACAGTTGTTCAACTGTTTGGTTTGTAATCACTGTTTTGGGAATCCTTCCAACTTCAGAGGTTGATTTCCTTAGTGATTTTTTTTAATTTCTTTTTTTTTAACTTTACCCTATCCCATCACTAAATTATTTAGTGGGGCTTGTGGAATACTGGGAATTGTGTTAAATTCTACCCTGGAGTGTATCTATTGAGGTGGTGTTTGTTTTGGTTTTTTTTCCATTTAGATGATACATTTGTGGTTCATAGTCTAATTTGCATTTACAGGCATAATAACCTAGACTTCAAATTATGCTCAGTCCCTGGTGAGATGTGATGATAGGCAGAGGGGAAGTAATAGGTCTGTAGAAGGGTGAGAATTTGCACCAAAAGGTCCTACTCTTTTAATAATAACTTGTTTACTCTTACATGTGCTCAGCTTTGACAGCTAGTGTGTGTACTATAGGAAGGTTCCACAACTGGTAGAGAAAATCGATAACACACCATTTTATGTATTAGAGCAAAAGAAGGGCATGCAGGGTCAGATGATGCTATTATTTGCCTTAACTCTTTGATGTCCAGCGTTATTCATCTTGGCCTGAACTATGAAAGTGAATGATCTAAAGAGACTAATTAATTACTTTACCACAAAGGAAGCTGAGGGAAGTAGATTACAATTTTGATCTCTGTACAAAAAGGTTTGTGTGCTAGTTGAATTAATCCCTTGAGTACCTTACAGTTTGCAGTATGTCCAACAAAAGGGCACTTGTTTCCTTATGAAAACACACTGTGCATACCAACCTTCCCCTGCCAGAACTGGAAGGCTATTCAAGTTGCTGGTCAGCATTTCTCACTAGTGTTAGCATTCAGTCACCTATTAGTTACTAAATACTATAATATGATCCACATTTGTCTTTTAAATTGAAGTAAAAAAAAAGAATTGTTGTAACTGTAAACTGCCCAGATTAAAATACACTGAAATAATTTGTAAGTGTTCAGTATCAGAATGTGATGGAGCATGGTAACGAAAGCTCATCTTTACTCTTTACATGTAGCTGTTCAGTAGATAGTCCCCTAAAGAAAATTTGAAAAACCAAATTGTAGGCTTCCTCATCTCTGACCAGTAACAAAGGTAGAGTATAAATATCAGAAGAGGGTGTACTAATGTGTATCACTAAAACCTGCAAATTATTCTGTGGGTGCTAAGTGAAGATGGCTTGTATACCACTTCTTGTCTTTTCTGCACAGCTCTTCCCAGTGGTGCCACTGATCCACTTCCACTCCCTTTCTCTCTTCTTTCCCTCTGCCTTTTTTTTTCTCAATACACAACCCATCCCTGCTGCACAGTGCACAGGTCCCTCCCTGCAGTGTGGGCCATGGCTGGCACTGAACACCCACATGTGCTCCTTCAAACTCTCTTCCTGATGTGGGGCATTAGTCTGCTTATCTCTGCTTTCCCTAGCTTGATAGGTCTTCCACCCCAAAAAATGTATTTTAGGTACTAAATTCTCACCAGTTGCTTTCTTGAGAGTTTCGTATCTTTTAATCTTTGCATTTTGTATCTTTTAACTTTGTGTTGTCTTCCTACCATCAGTCTCTGTGGTGTGAGCACAGTTACTGCAAACTACTGTCTCATTCCTTTTGAGGTAGTACCTTGTATGTCCGTGAGTAGTAGGACTGTATTAACACAGAAACAGAGGCCCAGTTGTCACACTTTTAAGGAAGCAAATAAATACCCCTTTTTGTCTACTGTTTATTGTGAATAATGTCTTTTATCAACAATGGTATTCACATTTTGTTATGCTGACTCCCTAGCCACATGAGGTGCTCACTGCATCTCGGTTTTCCCCTAAAAGCTTGAACTGTGAAAGTTGTTCGTGTCTTGCTTCCTTGTGTTCTGGCTTGCTAGACTCTATATGCCTTCACATTTCCATCCTTTCTCTGTAGCAGAGCATGAAGCCTCTTTATGCACTTTCATATTTTTATTATGTTTCTTAAGATATTTGGAGAGTTAGAAGAATTAAAATGATAAAAATGTGTTATTTCTGTGGAAGGTACTAACAGTGTCTTGTTTGTTCTGGAGACAGTATTGTTGGTTGTTGAAACTGGTAGTTCTGCCAGCTCTGGATGTCTGAGATAATTTCTCCTCTTACCATATTTCCCCTTGAGGCTTTTCTAGTTCTTAAGGTTTTTTTTCCTTTTTGGTAAAATTTGGATAAATCAGATGAAATATTCTCTAGCTCTTACCTGGTGTCCAAGCATAGATGCCATCAAGTCTAAGGCTTTGAAACCTCATCCAAAAGTTTGATAGTTAAGAGTATTGAGGAAAACAAGGAAACTTCTGAAATGGTATGTGTGTGGCATTTCCATTTAAAACCTTGCCAGTGATTCTATTAAAAGGGAAAAAAAAAAAATAATTTGAGTACTACACAAATCTTAACCTTGTCATTTTTGATACACCATCTAGAATAATACCTTCCTCTGTTAAAGATGGCTAACTGAAATCCAGAAGCTAAATCACTTGATAAGATCCACAGGAAATAGTATTCTCATTTGGGATGATTAATAGGAGTTTCTGACTTTATGTTTTGCCCTAACAAGTAAAGCTATCTATCTACAAATCACTGTACTTCCACGTACAGTTACCATTGAACTGTGGTGTGATGGTCTTCATACTGGTTCTATAAATGCTCTGAAGTTCATCCTTGTCCCTTGTATAATATAAAGTATTGCCTATAAAGTAAATGGAAGCATTAGTATGCAAATAAATAAATATATTTAAAATATTTATAGAAACAACTATAACAAATAAAAGATGCATGGTATTTGAAGCTTGTCTCTCAAAATAAAGCTGATGCATCTGGGCCTCCATATGACTAGAAATACCTAACATTTCATGCCAGCTTTCTCACCTCTCTCTGATGCTATTAGCAAAGTGAAAGAGGTCTTTGGTAATGTGTAGGAGCTTGGATATTGTGTGTTTTGTGTCTTTTGGGATACGTGCACATGGAGTTACCCTAAAACAAAAATAAAACTTATGGAGGAAAGAGCATCTCAACTCCCTAGCATTTACTTCAGTTCAAAAGGAAGTTGATAAATTTGATTTTTTTGAACAACAAGTGGCTAACATAAGCAAAAAATGGACCAAAATGAATACAGGGGATTATATGAAACTGCCATTTCAGAGACACTTTCCATAAACCATTCTGTTATAATTTTGTTTTTTCTTGGATTTGGAGTTAAATAATTTCAGTTACAGGTAGCTGTTCTTGTTTTATACTTGAGGACTGTTTGTATTTGGAATTACAGGTAGAGAAAAAAACAATTTTTTTTTTTTAATTGAAACGCACACTGAAGAAAGTTAAACCTACAGAATTCCTGTACACTAGGCCCCACTTTCTATATCTATCTTTGGCCTCTAAGGTATTCCCAACACTGATCTTGTCCTGTCTTGAAGAGAATGCTGATAGCAACAGGATGGCATGAGCATACTAAGACACCAGTTTACTTCAGGACATGGACAGAAGTGCTACCCTACTGAATTACCTTCACTAGCATTTTCAGTACTCTTAATTCAGAACTCATTATAAATGGAGGGAAAAGGAATATGGGCAAAAGAAATGTAATGCTTTTTAATGTGAAGGAGGAAATAATCTTGGGACACTCCTCTCCCCCCAGCCTACAGACACTGCATAGACTACTTCTAGTATGGTATTCAGAAAACCAAGGTAGACCCCAAAAATACAGATACAATTATTAAGATTCAAGTAAAATTTTAAATGTTAATTGTACTAAAATTGTTATGATGCAAGGATTTTCTTGATCTCTCTTTGGTTTTTTTTTTGTTTTGTAAGAGTTTGATTTATTATTTTTCTTTACATCTGGTGCAGCATTCTTCATTCTAAGTGCAGTTTTGTTCACATTTCTTATTTTAGTGTTATTCACTTAGTTTTGCATTGTGATTGCATTTTGTCAATTTTCTTTTATGATGGGCTGAATAGAATAAAAGCATTTATGAATACACTAAAATGTGTCACTGCTAATTGTCAAACGAAAACTGACTATGGGCCTTTTTTATTTTTATCCTTTTTTTGAGAATAAAGACCAGTTTCTTCATGATGAAGTTTCATCTTCAGTGTCACAACTTGCAACAAAGGTAAATGCTTATTCTTTGAAAGTGTAACATTTTATATCATATATGTTTCAATCAATATATGTTAGGAAGTTACCTGGTTTTGATGTACAGACTGATTAAGGAGGATATTTATGTACTTCATTGATGACTTTATAATTACTTATGATCCTTGGTCATGGGGTTCTCACTGAGTTAATATCAGCAGTGCGGTATTAGAAAGATGCCTTATTTCCTTTCATTAATGGGGAGGGGAAGGTATCTTTTTTTTTTTTCTTCCACATGATAGATATTAAAATTCAAAATAAAAATAAGAAGCCACAGGAATAACTGAAGTGAACTCTAAAGAAGCCCTAAATTCTAGCTGTAAATGTCAATGAAAACATGAAAAGTAGAAGGGATTTGGGTTATTTATTCCATTTTATGTAGCTCAACCAGCTCTCTGACCACAAGAGGTTAAGGACGTTATCTCATATCTTTTAGAAAATAAAAGTAGACATACAAGTTAAATTTTTTTACCTTGATATGTGTCCAAGAATCTTTTTTAATGTTCTTAAAATACATTAGTAGAAGATGAAAGAACTGGAAGTTGTTATGATATGCTAGAGCTTGTTTTGAAATTCCATAGGTATAGAGGAAAGCATTTAAAAATAGGTTCATTAGTGCAATAGGATACTTTACATTAATATGTATAAACTGAACATCTGTCTCTTTTATTCTTTTTGTTCTACTTCAGATACAGCATGATTTTTACTGAAAATAGGAGTCACATTGTACTATACGTTTTTCCTACTTTTTAGAAGAATTTTTTCTTTTTTATGAAAACGTAAATTTCTGTTTATTTTATGCTAGATGATGAATGTTTAGAAAAAGAATTCTAAAAATTAATCTATTTTATATTGAAACTTTTTTGCCCCTTAGTGATTCAGGAAGACTTGCTAAGTGTGTGTTTTGACTTAAAAAAAAGGTCACCAGGCAAACCACTGAGCTGCAGTATTTTTGTGTTTTAAAGTAAAACCCTCTTGTCTTAAAAATGTATTCACAAAAAAAAAGCACCTTATCCTTCTCATCTTCTCTTTCTTTATTGTTGTTTCTGAAAGCACTTCTGTATTTTTAGACTGTGCACTTTAGACTGTGCTTTTGCCGAGAAAGGTTGAACCAGATGATCCTTGTGGTCCCTTGCAACCTGGTATTCTATGATTCTGTGATTTTATTTGGTTGTCCTGTTGTCTGAGAAGCTGTCAGTACAGTGATATTCCAGAAGATCCAAAATCTTTAATATGCTAATAAAAGGCTGATGAATTAACACGTGTGGCCTTTTTATCATGAATAAAACAGCTTCCATGTTGAAGCCGTATGGTGAAGAACAATGAAGTTCTGGAAGAAAAGGGCAGTGGATGAAGGGCATGTCTGCCCTTTAGGGAGACAGCCTTCATTCTCTCTTAAAGCCTGAGTTTTAAGACAGTCCTGATGCCCATTTGCAGAGGAAGGCTTTTGACCTACATTTGGAGGTGCAAAAGTGGAAGCTAGTCCTAATGGTCGGAGATGGAGGTTGGAAAATGGTGTTAGTTTTTGCTCATGCAGGAAGCTGCCCACTTAACCAGTGAGGATAGGCTAACTGCAGTTCTGAATTTTTCTAGTTCCCTCTTCACAGTGTTCCTGAAGGGCAGGTGTAGCTGGTTAAAAAGCCTGGTGATATCTCAAAGTGGGGAACTGTGAACCCTCTAGTGGGGCTCTGCAAAATGCAGAAATCTGGAATCTGTTCATGCTGCACCTGGCCCTTTGGCCTCTGCAAGGCAGATCTTGGGGGTCTCATCTACATGATGAGCTTATGAGTTAGAATTACAGTAGAGACTTCATCCACAGTTGTAAATAGGCCAGCTTTTGAGAAGAGACAAAGTTTTGAGACACAAAATAATACACGTTAATAATGAAATTAGAGATGATGGGACATTCTGGTAGGGCTGAATCCTGGCATTTTGGCTCACGTGCATCACAGAATAGAGTAACTGTTGGTCTGCACAACAGTTGAGAAATCCGTCCCATGCCACTGTCTTGATATCTGGAAGACACATTTGGAGGGGGGTGTTTTTTTTCACTTTCTGTTGAGTACTTACATGTTATGAACAGGTTTCCTATAGTGTGGGTTCAATGCTTTTTTTAATTAAAGCTGATTAGCATTTTTTTAATTATAAAACACTTAGTTGTAACTTTACAGAACTGTAAGGTACTTATAAGGAAAATTCCATCTCTAGCTTTTTATTTTAGGTTCATTTTTTGCAGGGGGAAGAGGGAGGGAAGCTGTAGAACAAACAAATGTTTCTTCCCAGTCAAGGTTGAGAGGAAAATGCATTCATTTTGTTTATGTTTATAAAAAGTTTCTGCAAGTGTTTTGTGGAGTGCATCTACTTTGTTGCAGAGTTTTGATTTAGCAGTTGTCAATCCTGTGTGAAAATACTTCTGAAGATCTGCTAAAACTTGGCCAAAATATAAATTTCTGGAAATCTCATTTCATACATGCTGAGCAGTGACTTTTGGGGGATTAGCTGCTTAAGTACACAGTGGCGTTGAACATGCTGATTCTCACTGCAGGTATGCAGCAAGAATCCCCTGTAATTGCTCTTTTTGGTTGATAAGACTCTTGTCATGTGGCTTCTTGTAGCCTGCAGAGAATGACTTCTGTGCTCCAGAGTCCTGCTGGCCGGGCAGTTGGGAAGTAGAAAAGTCTGACCAGAATATATTGAAAGTACTGGTACCCACTTATAAAGCAGTACTATTTTAGAGTCAGAGTAACCTTGAATCTTTTGCTTTGAAATGTAAACTGTTAGTCTGGTACCTCTAACATGGTGTCCCAAATCCTTGCTGTTATACTTTGACTTGATTGAATTTTTTTTTTTTTTTTTTTTTTTTCCTCTCCCGTAATAAGTTGCTCATGTATTAACTACATCCGATGGATGGATTTACCTGTTTTCAGGTAAATTTATATATAGTCTTCCTCTTTAGTATATGCTTATCTATAGCTATATACTTTTTTCCCTGCAATGTACTTTTTCAAATTTGCTTTTAGGACTGATCTACTTATTTAATTTATACCAAACTATCCCTTATTTGTTGCCTTTTAGTATTATTTTTCATGAACCTTCTTGCCCAGTAGACTCTTCAGTTGCTCACCCAGTATGGGAAGCTGAGAGTCATGTAAGTCATCAGAATTTGTCGTTTTTGGTAACAATACCTTTAAATTTTGTAAGAGGCTCCAATTTAAGAGGAGCTGTTCCTTTCTGGGACACTTTAGAAAGTTAACTTTCAGTAGATGTTTGTTCTCTGTTTTATCTAAAGAAAGAAACAAAAATTATAGTCAACGTACACAATTTGTGTATAGTTGATTCACTTGAATCGATGCAGGTAACAACACAGAAAACTCTAAAGGCTGTGTTTACAGTGTGAAGCTTAGGGGGTGAGTTTGGGGAAGCCATACTGTATGTACAAAGCTGTATGTATGGAAGAAAGAGGACAGATGACTGCAACTTTCAGAGGGTGCTTGAGCTGACACAGTAGTTGCTGCTACAAAAAACATGATGTTGCCCCTAGCTTTTACATTCTTTGGTGACTGACATCTTTTAATGAGCTTATTCTTATCACTAACCCAAAAGAATGCAAAAAATGAATGAGTTACATTTCTGCTGGCTTAGTGAGTTGAATTGGTTTTCCACAGCATCACACAGGTACAAAACCATAGTGTAAGGAAGGCAGTGTTAACGTGAGCAGGCAGTGGACTGGATTGACCCTTTTTAGCAGCAGTATCTGATAAACCAGATCTGCCATCTTGTGAGACTTCTCTCGGGGAACTTGTCTGACAGATGGGTGCTGATATTCAAGCATCAGCAAAGCAGAGGGGAAGGGAGTGAGGAGGAGAAACAGCAGACAGTTTGACTAGCAATACAGACTGCATCCTTTACATGATGTTCTAGAATTGACTACTAGTACTCCCGGTTTCAGAAGATACGCTAATTAAATGGCAGCTTTCTCATGGTGGAGAAAGAGTACTTCATAACCTGGATTTTCCTCTACCGAAGGGGAAGAATCTGTGCTCTAGGCTTGAGCTTTTGAGATGCCTCTTGGGGCAGACAATGATGATGACTTTTCAGTAGTCTGCCAGTTGATGAACGTATGTATAATTTCACTTCCACTAATCCTTTTAGTTAATTGCACAGAGCATTGTGCTGCACAGATTTTTACAATCTGAAATGGAAGATACAGGAGAAACTTTATTAATGGCTGTTCTGATAGGCATACTCTGTGCTCTCATAGTCAAACTGGTATGAGACCAGTCTGTAGTGCTATGTCACAGAACAGTGAAATGGCATCTAGAGAAGTTTCTGCTTTGTTTCTCATTGGAATTTTTGAAAAATAAACTGCAATATCCAACCTGGTCCTCTAAAGGTTTTGACTTTCTAACATCTGATGTTACAATTCTAGTCCTTCTTTATAGCGCTTTCATTTCTTAGCAGTCCCTTACAGGCATTTCACTTGTTTGGGTTTTTTTGATTTTTTAAAAATTTTATTTTATTTTTATTTTTAACCTGGAGTTTCGATAGTACGCCTGGCTCTGTTATAGTGGTATCAGTCAGCTTTGATTTTTCAAAGATCACCTCCTCCAAGCTCAAGAATGACTTGACCCATAAAGCAGAGAAAGAAACAGAGGTGGCAGGCGGCCAGTCTGGGTGAACAAGATGTTCCTGAGAAACCTCACACATAAAAAGGAAGGATACAGGAGGTGAAAGCAGGGTCAAGTGACCTAGGGGGAATATAGAGATGTTCTTTGAGCATGCAGGGATGAGGTTAGGAAAGATGAAGGCAAATAGAGTTAAATCGAGCGAGGAAAATAAAGAGCAACAAGAAAGGTTTCTGCATGTATACCAGCAGCAGGGAGGGTGTAAAGAAGATGGGGTCTGACTCTTCTCAGTGGTGCTCAGTGAATGGGCAAGAGGCAATGGGTACAAATTGAAATAGAAGAAACAAAAGAAGAAATGTTTTCACCATAAGGGTGGTCAAGCCCTGGAACAGGTTTCCCAGAGAGGCTGTGGATTCTCCAGCTGTGAAGGTATTCAAAACCCAGATGTACATGATCCTTGTCAGTCTGCTCAAGCTGACCCTGCATTGAGCAGTGTGATTGGACTAGGCGGTCTCCAAAGGTCCCTTCCAGCTGTAAAGGCTCTGTGATTCTGTGAACTTGGGATGCTGGATTTTTTTTTTTCCACTGGCACACAGATAAATATTTTAAAGGTTTGAGAATTCAAACTAGTCAGTTATGCAGGTAAACTTTTTTGAAAATTTTAGGAGTCGTCCTTTTGAGTTTTTGTGTAGACAGTTACATCATAAAAATGATTTACAGAACTTCTGTAACTGGACCGATGCTTTATGACCATGACAGTACTGTATTTTCATACTTTGCATAACTTCAATCTTTTTACATAAAATGACTCTGGTGTGGTGAGGAGTCAGCTTAACAAAGTGTCATCTCTTCTTATTGACCTTCCTGTGACATCCATTGCAAGGAAGAAACTGATTGTTCTGGGATCTGGATCTTTCTCCACATGCTCCATAAGAATGTACGAAACTCACAGCTGATTCAGACAAGCCGGTCTAGTCTGGCAGTCTGTCTTCGACTGCAACAACAGGAGATGCTGTTCAGGGGGAGCATAGCTTGGCCAGTGTCTAGACCTTCTTCCTCTAGCACCAAGAATCACTGGTTTGAGATACTAGAGGGTGTATCACTCTATTTAGAGGGTATCCATTTATGGATTTGCTGTCTGAATTTGTCAAACATTTTTGTGATGGTTCCTAGCATTTTTTGGCTTTGCAGCTGCTATATGTCAAACTGATGGTTTCAGAGACTGGTGACTTCAGAATCTCCTTCATGAGCTGTACCTGTTCCAACTGCATTGGTGGTGGTGCTTGTCTGTAGGTTAAAAGTCTTTTAAAGAACACTGGAAGGAAATAAAGGAATGTAGCAGGCTGTTTTGAGGGATTTTTTTGTTAAAACGTGACAGTTACATGACAGCTGTAGTTGGAAAGAAAGATTGGTGTCTTAAACAGTTCAGTAGTTAGAAAAAAGCTTCTGGAAGTGTGAAATAAGTATTTGACCTCCTCTTTTCTAAGGTTTATATTCTTAAGTATGGGACCACTGAGAAGACTGTCAAGAGTGAGCTGTTCACTCCTTTTCAGTTGAGTGAAAAGATGCTTCAGAAAATCAGTGCTGGTGCAGGAAGGTGTAGAAGAGGATGCTTAAGCATGGTAGGCAGAGATTCCTGTTTTACTCTTGCACTTATGGTGTTTCTTTCAGCCTAGTCCATTTAACAGCAGTAGGCTTTGTGCAGTAAGTTTTATCACATATTAGCAAAATACGGTCTATTTGGACATTAGTGCTCTTATGTAGATTATCCTGGCAGTGTTTCCTTTGGAAATCGCAATTAAGTGGTGGAAGTATGTCTTAAAGGTCTAGTGTACATTTGCCCTAAGGACTAGTTGAGAGAAGAATAAATCAGTCTGCTACATGGTTATTAGTATGTACCTACCAAATCCCATGTATCCATTGTGGGAGTACTTGTTTATGAAAATATTGAAGGAATGGCACAATGTGTACATAGGTACTGATTTACATACAGGTGGGAAAAGTGCAGAGTTTGTAAAGTTTAATCTGGAGACTTGCACATGCTATCTGCTTGACATTGAATAGAACTTTTCTAATCATCATTCTCAAAGGTATCTGTAAATCAGAACTGGGCTTAACAAAATTGAATGTAGAAATACCTGAAGTTAAAAATATACAAAACTTGTGGGTAGATATTAACAGGATTTTATTATGAAATGGTTTTGGGGTGGTGAGGTTTGTTGGGATTTTTTTGGCTAGAAGATTGCTTGGGTATCCAAAACAATGCAGCAAAGGTTGGAGTTGTATCAGTGAAATATGTGTGATGTTCTAGATCGAAAGAAGGTGTATGGGTAGGTAGTTTTTACATTGAACATGTGTGTATAAATGCTTATCTCCAAATAGTCTTTCATCAGTGCTGTTCTTTAAAGGCACATATAATTTAAGTTAAGCTAGTTCTCGGTGTTGCTATCTGAAAACCAGTAACAAAGTGTATTTTTCCAATCTGCAGATTTATTATGTGTCTGTGGCTTAATGAAGCATCATTAGTAAAGAAAGGCAAGCATATATAAGCATATATATATGTATATATATATGTGTATATATATATATAT